CTTTCAGCTTAATTTTATATAATGATTTATTTTGAAATTTCTTGAATAAAATTTATAAAACCAAATTAATTGAATACGCAAAATACTTAGATTTCTTAAAGAAGGAAAACTTTTTGTCGCATATATATTTTTGGCATAAAATTATTTTAAATAATGGATTAAAATAAATTATAATCTCAAAAATTAAAAAATATTAATTTCAAATAACTTAAATGTTTCAAATCGAAGGCTTCTCCAAAGAGGATTATTAAAGTAAAAGATTTATTAAAAAAATATATAAATACTTTACTTGAATAATATAGTCACAAAATTCATATCATCATTGAAAAAGGATTATGTATATTTACTTATATTCAAATTTTAATAATTAACAATATATTTTTGTATTTTTAATTTATTTGTCTAACAAAAGTTTTTATAGGATAAGCTTCATTCCAAATGTAAAATACTGACACATGTACCAAAAATTGTAAAATAAGGACAAAAGAGTAACGAGAGTTCAAAAGGAGCACGAGCTTGTCGTTGCACTTCAAAATGCATTAGTTATCTTATCTGTCTCTGTCCCCGCCATGCTCCGGAATGAGTATACTTGTGCCCGTGCCAACATCGCCCATGCCGACTCATTTTAATTTTATTATTCTTTGCAAGTTTTTATACGAATTGAATTAAAATTTATTTTATATTTTTGTATAAAAATAAATTTTAAATATCGTCTGCATTAATTAGGTGGAATACATTTTTATAATTCAAAAAATAAATAAATAAAAGGCATTAATGTTTTAAATCCTATTTTCTTAATTCGATAAAATGAATTGAATATATTAATATCTTAGACTTTATTTTAAGAACTTGATTTTACATTTATTTAATAACGCATAACAAATAAAGTAATAAATATATTAATAATAAAAAATATTTAAAAATTAAATTTAATAAAGAAAATATTTCAAAAACTATTACTATTTTCTTTTTTAAGTATCTTTTAAGATTTTTAATAAAAATTTAGAAATATAATAATTTTTTCTCATAAACTAATTTTAGAAAATTCTATTATACTCTTTTCCATCTACATCCCGCACTACCGTACATTCTGATTCAGTTAAACCCCTTTTTCTTTTTGTGAATAACCGTGTAATGAGATTTAAATTAAGAACGTTACGTAATTAAATAATATATCACATTGTAATTTAAAAAATATGTCAAACTAGTTTAATAGAAGTATGGTGATATTATTTTTCAAGAATTGTTGAAGAACAAAAGATAGTATATGATGGATGAAAAAGAAAGGTAAAGAAAGTAAAAGATTGGTGACCTTGGAAGAAGCAGAAGCAGCTGGAAGAAGCAATTTCCTTAAAGTGGGAACGTACATTCGAATCATTGTGCTTGTGATCCTTCTGGTGCTACTAATGTTGGGGTGAGAGAGAGAGAGAATGCAGGCCAAAATAATGGGGGAAAGGATATTATAGAAAAAGAATATGGAGAATGGAGAGAAAGGGATAATGCTCGATAAGAGGAGAAACGTGTATGTATAAGTGTTACCAGCTCCGCAATCTCAATACTCATTACCCATTTATATAACCGCAGCTTATTTGCTATGTCTTTTTCGAACACGCGGCATAAATATATGGATGGAAACCATAACTTTTCATTTTTATATAGTCATTATTTTTTTTTAATCAACCGAAAATATTATTAAGGTTTAAATATTTTTAAATTATTTATTTATTTTTACTTTTAACCCTTGTTGTATCATCCACTTTGATCTAGTTGAGTTGACTTTCCACACAATTCGTTTATGGTAAAAAATTTAAAAACTATTTGATACTCAGTCTAATTAATTCAAACTAACATATAAAATATTTTTATAATTATCAATCGATTAAAATGAATGAAATGAAATATCAAATGATTTCTTTGTTTTTTTTAATTGTAAACTTAATCTATACATCAAAAACTTTTAGTTTAATAGTTTGATCGTTAAAATTTGATATAAAACATAAATTATTAAATGAAATAAATTTAAATAAACTTACTATTAAAATAAATAAACTTATATATATATATAT